CGAACGCACTAGCCATGGCTCCTATGTCACGCTAGAATCTTAACATGCTATCAGAGTGATTACGGTCCTGGCCTGTGGGCCCACCTTACTGCTTCCGCTGCTACTCTGTGTTCGGCACGCCCCGTGGCGTGCCCCTTAACTTTCTCTTAGCGGCCCCGTTGCCGCCCTTTCAGGCCCCTCGCGGCCCCTTCACGGCCCCGTCGCCGCCCTTTCAAAGGCCCCTCGCAGCCCCTTTGCGGCCCCGTCGCCGCCCTTCCGCGGCCCCGTCACCGCCCTTTCAGCGGCCCCGTCGCCGCCCTTTCAGCGGCCCCGTCGTCGCCCGCCCTTCAACATGCCCCGTCGCCTGCCCTTTCAGCGGCCCCACCGCCACCCTTTCAGCGGCCCCGTCGCCCGCCCTTTCAACGGGCCCCGTCGCCGCCCTTTCAGCGGCCCGTCGCCGCCCTATCAGCGGCCCGTCGCTCGCCCTTTCAGCGGCCCCACCGCCGCCCTTCCAGCGGCCCGTCGCCCACCCTTTCAGCGGCCCCGTCGCCGCCCTTCCGCGGCCCAGTCGCCGCCTCCATCGGCTCCGTCGCCGCCACTTGCGGCCCCGTCGCCGCCACTTGCGGCCCCGAACCCGGCCCGGCCATGCTCCGTCGCCAACCGCGGCACACCGGGGGCACGTGCACCGCCCCCCCCCCCCCCCCCCCCCCCCTTTTCCCGTCACCTGGAAGGGGGGGGCAGGCGTCGCCCCCTTTGCCGCCTGCTTTGGCGCCCGGGGAGGCCGTGCGTCGCCCCCCCCCCCCCCCTCACCCCCCCCCCCCCCCTTCCCCCTTCTCCTTCGTCTCCCTGCAGCTGCAGGGGGGAGGGTCTGGGGGTGGCGGGTGTGGGGGTGATGGGTGATGTGCTTCCCTTCCCCTCCTCCTTTCTTTCCCACTGCTGCAGCTGCCGCTGGGGGGAGGGTGTGAGGGTGTGGGGGAGCCGGGGGAGTGGCACTGAGGTGGCGGGTGTAAGACCAACCAGCAGTCGTCCCTCCACCTCTCCTCTCTTCCCCCCTCTGCTGCTCCTGCAGCAGTGTGGGGGGGAGGGGGAGGGGGAGGGTGAGGAGATGGAGGGGGTGACCAGCTTGAGCCAGCCCGCCTCCTCACTCTCCGTGCTGTCCCTCCTGTGGTTGGGGGGGAAGAGAGTAAGGGGGTGGCAGGAATCTCTTGCTGTCGCCTGTCCCTTTGCTGCTGTACCTGCTCTGTTACCATACCTGCTATTGCTGTTGCTTGTATACCCCTGCAGGTTGTGTTCTGCACAAACTCCTGCTGCACGCAGTTATGGGGGAGTGTTAGAATTTATATGTAACTGCCTGTAGCTGTAGTTTAGTATAGTTATTATAAACTGTTGGTGGTGCACCTTGCTTCCCTTTTTCATATTTGTACCCTTGAACCTATAGTGAAACCCTCATTCTCCTTCAAAATCCTCTCGATACTTTCCTTACCCTCGAACTCACTAGCCATGGCTCCTATGTCACGCTAGAATCTTAACAATAACTACTTTACTGTTGCTGTTGTGGTTCGATACAGTGACGACTCGGGCAACTGCTCTGTAGCGAGTCAATTGTGTGTCCTTGCTGTCGCGCTGTACTTGTCAGGTCAAAGATCGCTGACCTTTGACTTTCGCGTAACCTCCAGCAGTTACTTCAACCTCCGAGGGTTGACTCGCTGGTGCCTCGATATGCTTTGCTTCGCTTGTGCCTTGGTGTTTCGACACGATAGAGGGGCTTAAGCTCTGTTGTTTCCAACACTCCCCTTCGCTTCTGGAGTGTCGCTGCTGGTGACGTGGCTCTGTCCAGTCAGCAGCATGCAGTACTCGAACTTCTACTTTCCGAGCTTCTTGGTCAGGTAGTCAGCTGCCATCTCGGACGTGGGGCAGTATGACAGCTCGAGCCTCCCTTTCTCGATCTCGTCCTTCACGAAGAAATATCGCAGGGCGATGTGTTTCGTCCTGTTCGCGTAGCCGTTCTTGTTGGCAATGCGAATTGCCAAATGGTTGTCGCAGAACAGAGTGAAGCTGGGTAACTGAGCTAGCTTCGCTTCTTCCAGCAGTTCGCGAAGGTAAAGTCCTTCCTTGGTGGCTGAACAGAGTGCAATATATTCTGCTTCAGCTGACAAGAGGGCGATTAATTCCTGTTTGCTCGACTGCCAAGAGATAGGTCCGATAGGTTTGAGGTGGTAAATGTAGCCGGTGCGAGAACGCATGTTGTCGGAGTCGCCAGCGTGATCGGCGTCGGCGTAACCGATTAACTTAGGAGGCGTGGTTGCGTTCTTGTAGTAAGTTAGACCGATCGTCGGGGTGCTGACTAGGCAGTGAAGAGCGCGGTCGAGCTCAGCTAGATGTTCCGCTTCAGGCTTCTTGAGGTAGGTGGCGAGTTGACTTGCAAAGTACGATAGGTCCGGGCGACAGGTGACGGCTGCGAAAAGGAGGCATCCCAGTTTCCTCTGGTTGTCGCGAATGCCGGCGGGCTTAAGTAAAGTGGAGCTTCCCTTGCTGTTTCCTGTCGTGTAGTGGTACGGTGTGGAGATGGCGGTCGGTGTGAGTGCGAAGCGCTTGGTAATGGTGTTGGCGTATTTCGCGGCACTGAGGTAGATCGCGTCTTCCTCTTCTCGGATGTTGAGACTGAGGTACTGTGTGACGGTGGTTGAGACCGTGAGCGTGAGGTCTTTCTGTAGCTCCCCTTTGAACCAGGTTGTGATGCCGTCGGTCGAGCCGATGTAAAGTAGATCGTCTACGTAGACGATTAACAGGATGTAGTCAGTGTTCTTCGTGAGCCGGTATATCCCCTGATCATGCGGTAGTTGTTTGAAGCCGATGCGAATGAGGCGAGCGTGCAGGTATTGTTGCCATAGCCGCGGAGCTTGCTTGATGCCGTAGAGCAACTTCAGCAGCTGGCAGACTTGATTGGGCTCACCGTTGGAGCCGTGCGGCAACTCGACGAAGATTTTGGCGTCGACGGGTGCGTAAAGAAATGCGTTCGCGACGTCGATTTGTCGCAACTTCTTCTTCATGGCGGCGATCGCGAGGAGAATTCGCAGTGAGGTATGTCGGCTTACCGGAGCGAATGTCTCGGTGAAGTCGCATCCATGTTCTTGGTCGAAGCCACGTACGACCCAACGTGCTTTGAATTTGTCGATGGTGTCTTCTGCTTTTGTTTTCACTCGGAAAACCCACTTTCCGGTGAGAATCGTTTTGTTATGCGCCACACTAATGAGAACGACTTTCCAAGTGTTGCGCTCCTCTAATTCCTTGTCCATGGCTTCGCGCCATTTTTCCTTATGCTCCCCCCCCAGAGCCTGCTGAACTGTGGCAGGCTCCTTGGGAATGGCTGTGCCGTGGACTGCGGTGACGAGCCCGAGCATATGGAGTCCACTCTGTGTTTAGCGGGGGAGTTACATGTCCGCGGGATAAACAGCTTCGTCTCCTGCTTCTGGATCAGGTGCGAAGTTGGGTCCTACACGTTCTGCTTCGTCGGTGTTGACTTGTGCAGGTGTAACGTAACCATTGTCAGCGAAGTGGTAGTAGGTTTCGGTGTTGATGCTTTCGCGTGGGTTTTCGTCGTCCATTGGCACGTCGACGGAGCAGTAGGGGAGGGGTCCGGCTTCTTCCGAGGCTCCTTCCACGTTCTGCTCGTCCCAGTCAGCTTCGTCTTCTACCGAAGCAAAGGCTTGGTCTCCACGAAAGCCACTTGTGAGGTCTCGGTTTTCGTCCAGGTTGGCAAGGTATGTCGGCAGTGTGAGTCGTTCATAGAAAACGGCATCACGTGCTGCCACTGTTTCTTTTGTCTCGACGTCGAAGATTTTCCATGCGTTGTAGTGTTTCTCGATGCCCAGGTGTAATCCCCACTGTACTCGTTGAGAGAATTGGCCGGCTCGTGCAGATGGGGGCCGGTACTGTACCATGCAGCCGAAGACCCTTAACATTTTTGTGCTGCCCAATTTTCCTGTCCACAGCAGGTGCGGTGATGCGTTGTTCGTGAGTGATGATGACGAGAGCAAGTTGTGTAGCATGACGGCGTGGTCCATTGCTTCGGGCCACGGGTGGTTGGGTAGCCGCATGCCACGTAGCAGTTTCCCCATGGTGTTTTGGAGAGTCCTGTTCATCCTCTCTGCTACACCTTGCTGTTGATGGGCGTAGGGAAGGGAGATGAGCCGCTTGATTCCCCTTTCAGCCAAGAACTGCTTGAACCTCTGTGAGGTGTATTCACCTCCTCCGTCTGACTGAAGACTCTTTAGCTTGACGCCCGATTCTCTTTCCGCTACAGGGAGCCAGGCGACGAACGCTTCGAACGCCAGATCTTTGCTTGGAAGATTCAAGTGCCAAACGTAACGTGTCGCGGCGTCGATGAACGTGATGGTGTAATTGCACGCGTTCTGTCCCGGCTCGCGGTTGTACAGGATGTCGCTGTACACCTTCTCGAGTGGCGCGTATTGAAATAGTAGGCAGAAGTGATGGCTAGGGTTTTGTTAGGGCCTAGGCTTAGTAGCCTAGGCCAAGGAGGAACTTTAGGGTTGTGCCAAGAAGAAGAGAGAATGAGATGGTTTGACTATGGAAGAGCGGGTACAAATAGAAGAGAACCAGCAAGGAGTGGTGCACCACCACACAGAACACTAGGTAACTACTCTACAGCTAGAACTACATGCACTTATACAGACATATATATAAGATATATTCTGACACACCCCCTAAGTGCATGCAGGAATAGCCATTGAGCAGAACACCCCTAAAGTGGTACACCCTGTAAGGCGCAGCAAAAGTAGAGGCGAAGTGAGGAGGAGGGGAAGGAACTGTGAGAGGAGAGGAGATGGGAGGCGACGGTTGAAGCCGCAGACACACGGGAGACAGGACGGCAGCCTCCGCTCAACCTCCCCCAACTGTCCCACCCCCCTTTCACACACCCACTGCTGCACCCCTAGTTCCACTACCACGGCACCCCCCTAGCGCCACTCCCCTCGGCTCCCACACATCCACCCCCCTCAGCGTCAGCTGCAGCAATGGGAGACGGAGGAGGAGGAGGAGCAGGGGTCGGCTCACACACCCGCCACCCCCATACCCTGGGTGTGCGGTAAGCGAGTTCAGGTGTGCGCGAAGCGAGTTCAGGTGTGCGCGAAGCGAGCACAAGCGTGCGGGAAGCGAACTCGGTTGTGCGGAAAGCGAACTTGGGTGTGCGGGAAGGGGGCCGCAGGGCGACGTGCGGATCGACGGGGCCGCCGCGAAGGGCGACTAGCAGAGCAGAGCGCACAAGAGCACGGGCAGCAGCAGTGCGCACGAGGGCGCGGGCAGAGCAGAGCGCACGAGGGCGCGGGTGAGACAGAGCGCACGAGGGCACGGGCAGAGCAGGGCGCACAAGGGCGCGGGCAGCAACAGAGCACACGAGGGCGCGGGCAGCAGCAGAGCGCACGAGGGCGCGGGCAGCAGCAGGGCGCACGAGGGCGCGGGCAGCAGCAGGGCGCACGAGGGCGCGGGCAGCAGCAGAGCGCACGAGGGCGCGGGCAGAAGTAGGGCGCACGAGGGCGCGGGCAGCAGCAGGGCGCACGAGGGCGCGGGCAGCAGCAGAGCGCACGAGGGCACGGGCAGCAGCAGGGCGCACGAGGGCGCGGGCAGCAGCAGCGCGTACGAGGGCGCGGGCAGCAGCAGCGCGCACGAGGGCGCGGGCAGCAGCAGGGCGCACGAGGGTGCGGGCAGCAGCAGAGCGCACGAGGGCGCGTGCAGCAGCAGAGCGCACGAGGGCGCGTGCAGCAGCAGGACGCACGAGGGCGCGGGCAGCAGCGGGGCGCACGAGGGCGCGGGCAGCAGCGGAGCGCACGAGGGCGCGCGCAGCAGCGGAGCGCACGAGGGCGCGCGCAGCAGCAGAGCGCACGAGGGCGCGGGCGAGACAGGGCGACTGCACGAGGGCAAGCGCGGACGGGACGGAGGCGGCTGCTGCAGGGGCGGCGTCGCGGGGTCCAAGGGCGGCTGCAGCAGCGAGAGACGGAGGAGGAGGAGGAGCAGGGGACCGCGCACACCCGCCAATCCCGTACCCGTCACCCCCATACCCTGAGTGTGCGGTAAGCGAGCTCAGGTGTGCGCGAAGCGTGCACAAGCGTGCGGGAAGCGAACTCAGGTGTGCAGAGAGGGGGGGGGGGCGCACGGTGACGCGCGGGCCGACTGGGACGGGCACACGGATCCCCGGGGGCGGCGCGCGGATCTACGGGGCCGCCGCGAAGGGCGACGGGGAGCCGCACGCGGGTCGACGGGGACGGGCACACCAGTCGCTGAAGGCGGCGCGCGGGTCGACGGGGCCGCCGTGAAGGGCGACGGGGAGCCGCGCGCGGGTTGACGGGGCCGCCGCGAAGGGCGACGAGGAGCCGCGCGCAGGTCGACGGGGACGGGCGTGCGGGTCGACGGAACGCGAAACCGCCGCGTGCGCCTAGTGTGCGCGGTGGGCAGAAAACCGCCATGCGCCAGGAGCGCATGGCGGGAAGAAAAAAGCGTCGCGCGCCACGGAGCGCGCGACAGACAGGAATGCAGCGGAAGCTTTAGGTGGGCCCATAGGCCAAGAGCGTAACAACTCTGATTCCATGTTGAAATAGTAGGCAGAAGTGATGGCTAGGGTTTTGTTAGGGCCTAGGCTTAGTAGCCTAGGCCAAGGAGGAACTTTAGGGTTGTGCCAAGAAGAAGAGAGAATGAGATGGTTTGACTATGGAAGAGCAGGTACAAATAGAAGAGAACCAGCAAGGAGTGGTGCACCACCACACAGAACACTAGGTAACTACTCTACAGCTAGAACTACATGCACTTATACAGACATATATATAAGATATATTCTGACAGCGCGTAAGCTGGTGCGCTTGGGTTATGGTGAGACGCGAACGGTCTATGCGGTAAGTCAGCTTCAGGGCAGGTGAAGCACGTCCCACGTACTCGTTGAAGTTCTCTTCCATCGGTCAGTAGTAGTGAGTCCTTGTCGAGTACTCCTGCTCTTATCGTATTGTTTAATACTGTGTTGCTTGGGTGTCCCGTCCTTGCGTGCCAGGTGCTTTCGTCGGTGCTGTGAGAGTACGACGGCTTATGTCAGCTATGCTTGCTTGCCTTTACTTTATCATGCTATTTCTAGCATAAGATAATTATATGCATGCATGAATTGCTTGATTTCCTAGGCTAGGTGCTTTCCTATATTTTATTATAGTTATAGCACCGAGCTAGGTTGCGTGCACCGAATTCTGGGCTTTTCGGTTGCCACCGAATTGCCTTCTACCGAATTCGGTAAGGATCTGTTCGGGACGCTACGCGGCCCGCGGAACCTTCGCGTAACACCTGGTTACGGGGCCTTGTGTCGAGCCTATATATAGCCTCGTGTTGTACCCAGGTGATCATTCAATTCAATTCAATTACAATTCTCTTTTCTGAGCTCGATCCTAGATCCTCACAGGCGCGATGTCCGGGTGATCGTCGGTACAGGTCGGAGTTGGAGTAGAAGTTGGCGGTGAAGTTGGCGCTTTGATGAACTTCTCGTGGTGCCGGGTGTAGTTGCTGCACGGGTGTCGGTGGTGTTTCGTCGACGAGCGGCGCCGTTGAAGGACCAGCGATTGGTGTTGACGTTCCTGCTGCTGCCGTTGATGGTTCTCCTGCTGCCGATGTTGTCTCTGCTGCTGCCGATGTTGTCTCTGCTGCCGCCGATGTTGTCTCTGCTGTTGCCGATGTTGTCTCTGTTGCTGCTGATGTTGTTTGAATTGTTGCTAACGCCCTAGTTCTTTCTGCCTCAGGGATGGTGTGTGAGTACCAAAAGCCGCCGAGGCTGAAGTCTGGATCAAGATCTGGAGGGTGGGTCCAGGAAGTGAAGGTGACGATGCCGTCGCTGTCTGCTGTGCCTAGATCTGGAACAAAATCAAGAACAAAGACGTTATTTTTCAGGACCGCCTTTCCGATGTAAAGGCCTCCTCTCCCGTGGTACAGCTTGAATTCTTGAGTGGTGCTGTGTGCTTCGAGATGGATGCCCTTCGCCATCAGCTGGCTGACGCTGAGTAAGTTATATCCAAGTCCTTCTGCTATCAGAACCTTTCACATCTGTAGTATCACGTTTGTTTCTCGTGGCTGAAGTTGAACCACTCCTTGTCGTCGTGTGCGCAGGTTCTGGTTGTTGGCGACGGTAATGACTATTTCGCGTTGGAGTTGGTATTCCTACTGCACGAAGCGTCTTGAAGAACACATGTGTTGTCTGCAGCAACTGTCTAAGAACCAGGTGTCTTTCCCGGATGGCTCGCTCTGGGCGATGGCTGCGTATGTTGGATTCAGTTGAAGTGACTCGCGGCGAGGTGTGGTGTTGTCGAGTTGTTCTTCCGGTGAGTAGTGCGGCGGTGTCTCGGTGATGCAGGAATCGGTCAATTTTGCCATGCAGCTGACGATTTTCCTTACTCCTTGTGCAGGTGATGTTGTTGACGGTTGCGACTAACTCGTGGGTTTCGCCTGCGTCGATGCCACTTGGCTGCTTGAGGGTCAAAGCTGCCGTTGCGCTGGAGTTGACTGTTGTCAATTCGGGCAATGCGTGCGCGGGTGCCCTGACGTTTTGTAGATGTGGCAGAATGGAGGTACGGGCTTCGGTTGTTGTTGTTTGTAGTTGTTGTAGCGTCGCTGAGTGTGGAATGCAAATTCCGGTGCTGATATCTTCTTCTTGTGTCGTTCTTCTTGCAGGTCCATCTCTTGCTACTCGGCATGGATTTCGGCGCAGAGTGCTGCTTCGGAGATTCTTCCGTGGGCTCGGAGAATGGCCATTGTGGCGCGCCATTGAGGACCGAGGCCGCGAATGATGACTGTCACGAAGGCGTCTTCAAAAATCGACCCCCCACATCGAAGAAGCTTGTCGCGCAACTCGCAACATCGGCTGATATACGCCATTCATTTCTCGTCTGGTTTCATTTCGACCATTGTCAGTTGCGCCATTAATCGACTTTGATTTACGCTGTCTGTTGCTTGATACAAGCTCTTCAAGTGGTTGTACGCGAGCTCCGCGGAGTTGCCGTAACCTCGGTAAGACCGTATATTCTGCTGTTGAGTTGGGGTGATGTTTCTTAGTAGAATCGTGTACGCCATCATCGACTGATAGGTGTACTGCTGCTTCTCATACTGTGTGCCGTTTGTTGGGTATGGCAGGGACCCATCGAAGAAGCCAAGTATCTGCGCGCCTTCCATTATCAACTCAAATTCGAACGACCAGGTGAAGAAATCCTTTCCATCGAAAGGTTTTGACGTCTGCATTTTCAGAACGTGCGCGAACTGCGACTGAACTTGTAATGCGTCCAGTGACTTTTCTTGTCCAGGTGAAGGCTGCGGGTGTGGCATAAAGCTGATGGACCCGCGCTCGTACGGAGCAAAGGTAGGCTGCTGCTGTTCATTTCCCCGTGCGTATGATGAGCCGTCGAGACTCATGGGAGTTGCTCCGTTGTTGTTGCTATTGTGTGACTGCACAGGTGCCGATTGTTGATGTTGCTCGTAAAACGACATGAAGGAGAAGAATTTCTCCATCATGCTCTAGTCGAAGTCTGCAGGTTGATTCGCAGGAGTCTCGGTGGATGTTGCCCTGGGTCTTGTTGCCGTACCCTCCTCTATCTGTAGGCCAGAGGCAGGAGGTGGAGTAGGAGTAGTGCCCTGGGAGCCACTGGAGGAGCTCCTTTCCTTTTGTGTAGCCATGCTTGTTGATGCTGTCGGTATTTTAATAGTAGTTGAATTCTCCCTGACAGCTCTCATACCATGTTGGGCTGAGAAAAGCCCTTAGGATCTTTACAAGGATGAACTCTGGGTAGGACTGATGTAATAGCGGAAGCGTTTAATGAAGAGTTGTGAACCACCTTGCGCTAGTATGTGAGGGCAAAGTAGATTGATTAAAGCAAGGAGATACAAGATTATTTAGGAGTACAAGGAATACGAAGAGATACAGTTATAACTACTTAACTGTTGCTGTTGCGGTTCGATACAGTGACGACTCGGGCAAATGCTCTGTAGCGAGTCAGTTGTGTGTCCTTGTTGTCGCGCTGTACTTGTCAGGTCAAAGATCGCTGACCTTTGACTTTCGCGTAACCTCCAGCAGTTACTTCAACCTCCGAGGGTTGACTCGCTGGTGCCTCGCATGCTTGTGTCCGGATGCATGCTTGTGTCCGGACGCATGCTTGTGTCCGGTCGCATGCTTGAGTCCGGTCGCATGCTTGTGTCCGGACGCATGCTTGTGTCCGGTCGCATGCTTGTGTCCGACCGCATGCTTGAGTCCGGTCGCATGCTTGTGTCCGGACGCATGCTTGTGTCCGGACGCATGCTTGTGTACGGACGCATCCTTGTGTCCGGACGCATGCTTGTGTCCGGTCGCATGCTTGCGTCCGGTCGCATGCTTGTGTCCGGACGCATGCTTGTGTCTGGACGCATGCTTGTGTCCGGACGCATGCATGAGTCCGGTCGCATGCTTGTGTCCGGACGCATGCTTGTGTCCGGACGCATGCTTGTGTCCGGACGCATGCTTGTGTCCGGACGCATGCTTGTGTCCGGTCGCATGCTTGTGTCCGACCGCATGCTTGAGTCCGGTCGCATGCTTGTGTCCGGACGCATGCTTGTGTCCGGACGCATGCTTGTGTCCGGACGTATGCTTGTGTCCGGACGCATGCTTGAGTCCGGTCGCATGCTTGAATCCGGACGCATGCTTGTGTACGGACGCATGCTTGTGTTAGGACGCATGCTTGTGTCCGGTCGCATGCTTGTGTCCGACAGCATGCTTGAGTCCGGTCGCATGCTTGTGTCCGGACGCATGCTTGTGTCCGGACGCATGCTTGTGTTCGGACGCATGCTTGTGTCCGGTCGCATGCTTGTGTCCGGACGCATGCTTGTGTCCGGACGCATGCTTGTGTTCGGACGCATGCTTGTGTCCGGACGCATGCTTGTGTCCGGACGCATGCTTGTGTCCGGTCGCATGCTTGTGTCCGGACGCATGCTTGAGTCCGGTCGCATGCTTGTGTCCGGACGCATGCTTGTGTCCGGACGCATGCTTGTGTCCGGACGCATGCTTGTGTCCG